GTAAACTGAAAGAGCATATCTATGTGGGAAGTGAATGAAACTCTGTTGTCCCAGGCAGAAATTTTGGAAATAGAATTGAAACAGCATAACCGTAATAAAGCTATCTGCTGCCCCAGCTTGCTCCCCAGCCCTTTCTCAGACTATGTTTCAACAAACAGCAAGTCCTCAAAGAATGGCCCCATTTAAAGATGGGAAAAAATATCAGAAAGCAGCTGGCAAAACACCAACTTTGTATAGATACTACAAGAAAAAGAAAACTGAAAAAAATAACGTAAAAGAGACACAAAAATCACATGCTACAATTATTTAAAAAATACAGGATTTAGTCAAATACTTTTCAGTGATACTTTTTAAATCAAAGAAATAGAGCCTTAAAAAAAATAAAAGCATTTAGAACAAAAGAGAATGGCTCAAAGACCAAAAGGCAAGCCAATAGGCGGATATTAAAACTGAGCTGGCAGAACTTAGAAAAAGAACAGAAGAAATAAATACGATCCATTCAGAAAGAAAATCTGCTTTAAGAAGCAGAAGCTTTTTAATGAATACCATCAAAGCTACAGAATTAATTATGGAGGTTAGATTTGAGAACACTGAGTAAAATGAATAGAATAAAAATAAAGAAATCACTAGACAGAATAATTAAAGAAAAATGAAAATGTATATAAAAGACAAATAAGGCCCAACATGCACATTCATGAAGAGAAGAACACCAATTATAAAAAATTTTAAAAAAGTTATAGTAGGAAAAAAAATTTCCAGTTAAGGTTAATTAATAATTAAAAAGTTAAAATTCAAAGTAAAAAGTACTATATTGTTCAAAGGATGACAAAGATTTGTTAGTGATGAGTTATAAACTCTGTAATGATCTAATTATCCTGATTCTAAGCACAAACAATACATTATTAAAATACATAAAGCAAAACTGGAAAAAATGCAAAAAGAAACAGACATAAATGAATAGTAACAGAAAACATATACACAGTCTCTGAAAGACGATATAGACTAAAAATATGTACCAATATAGAAAAAAGTTAAGTAACATAAATATTAATTTGGATGTTATATACATATATAAAATTCAGTGAAGCAACTTTTAAAGGCACACAGAATACTTTCATATATATCTAAACAATAAAAAATAAAAGCATATGAAAAATGTATTGTTATCAATATTATACCTCCTAAAGAAAATCTCAATAAATTCTCTAATATGAAATAGTATATTTTATTTATCATGTTTTATAACTAGATTGCTATTACACTTGACTTTACAATAAAAATTAAGGCCAACACATTGAGAACTGAAACATTCTCAAACAACTCCTGAGTCAAACAGGAAATCCACACTGAAATAGCCAAATCAGAAGACTGGGCCTTAAGTGTCCCAGGTGGAGTCTTTAGAAATATCTTCAAAATTAAAATATGAAAATGAATAAGGTTATGAATAACAAAATTCATATTTAAAGATAATTTTTATCCTACATACAAATAATAACTTATTTTTTTGAAAGAGAACAAGAGAGAGGTGACAATATCTCATTTTCAATAGCAAATTTATGAGTAAGGGCCTATCTAGCAAAACAGATTCCTGACATATAATTAAATAAATAATATAATATCAGAGATAGTTATGAATATATGAGAAGAGTCAAAACAGCAAGCAAGGTTTGGAAAAAGATATTACCCTAAAAATTAGTAACAGCAAAAAGCTGCTAATATCCTTAAACTGGAATAATAAAGGAAGGGACGATATGTACCCCTAGAGTAGTTTATAAACTAGACCCAAGAGGGAGCAAAAACTCAGACAGAACTGCCTGTTGGAAGCTGGGAGTATGGAGAGACCTGGAGCCACTGAGGAGACCAACCAGAGCTGCCACCAGCTGCAAAGGGGTGGGGAACACTCTAGAACCACCCCACCATCTGCCCTTCATATTGTTCCAGTACCTCCCACTGGCCAAACAGAAGCCACTGGATAGAGAATCTGGGAAGGTAGTTTACATGGGTTCATTATCTACCATGCAAACTACAGGGGGAGAGGCTTGGATCTGAAAGGAAACAGACACTATTATTAGCACAGCAACCAGAAAAGAAAACCAAAAATTAATAAAGAAATAGAAATTTAGCTCAATTTTTCATACTTTACCTAAAGGCCTTTAAGGGAAATGTGTCCTATGTAAGGTATGTGTTTATTTAATTATTGTAAAATATGGGGGGAGGCAGGAATATTGTATATAAATAATATGTAGTAGAAGATGAGCTTCTCTCTCCTCCATATCCCCAATGCCTCTCCACAGAGTGACTGCTGTTAATTATTTTGTTTGCACCTGGAAATTTTTCATATATAAACATGAATATTTTTAAATGCTCATAAGCATAAAAATATATATTATTCTGTCTCTGGATTCTCTTTCACTTATGGATATGCGTATACTGGAGACTGGTGATGATTTATTTTTTTAAAGATTCTACTTTTTTAATATGCAGGTGGTTTCCAGGTTTTTGTTGTTACAGACAATATGTGACAAAGACAATACTTCTAAAACTGTCAGGCTATTGTCTTTATATGTCTGGTATCTGAAACAATTCACTTAGCATGTGTTGGGCCAGGGGCAATACCGCTACAAGCAGAGCCTAAGTGGGAGATGGGATTTAAAATTAAGTCACAGAAATATGGAGCTCATTTCACTCATATCTTACAATCAATGTTATTTATGATTCATACCCATATGTATGGGAATGTTTGGAAGGATGTGCAGATGTAGCCAATATGTGCATCTTTACCCCAAGGCAGTTGCACATACCAATGTTCTTATGCTTCCAAAAATAAATAAAACCTGATCCTCTCTCTGTTTTAGCCAGGCCAGCTCACTTGCGTCTGAAAAGTTTAAGCTTTCTGAGATTACTTAGTTGTATGATCTTGGAAAGGATCTTAATATTGACAGCCCTCGGTTTCTTATTAAAATGAAGTGTCACATTCATCTACCCTCTTAAATTTCAACACTTCTACTCTTTTCAGCTCTTGTTGTTACATTTTCAAGGTCAAATTCAAGCCCTGCCTTTTTTCAAATAAGTTTCAGAATTAGGTGGAAGATACCTTGAAAACCCATTCACTAATATTGGAGATTTTCATACTGACTTCTCCCTGTAATTCTTGTATTCTCTCCTTGATTCTTGTGAAGCAATCGAAGTTCCTCAAGTCTCCTCCCAGGAAGAAAATCAAAAAGAATAAGATATTGAAGAGTGAGCATGAGAATGAAACTGTTAAACATTACATTAAATTTATACTGCTATAGTTTTTATAGTCTTCAAAAAGAATAAATTATGATGTGTCCTTAAAATAAAAGTTCTATTAGGCCATCAATTGCTGTCACATGAGAAAGCATGCAATTAAGACCATAAAAGTTGCCAAATTTTGGAAATGTTCATGGAATGTTCAAAGCTCAAAGAGTTCAAAGGGAATACACAGGCCTTGATGGACTATCAGGCAAATTCTGAATAGCTGACCATAAAAACTTTCAGACAATTTCTGAAGGAATCTGTTTAATTTTGAGTTACATGTAATTCAGTTAAGGAAAAGGCAAAATCAAAAGTTTAATCAAATTGGGGATAGTGGCATGTGACTGTTATCCCAGTGACTCAGGAGGCCAAGGCAAGAGGAACACAAGTTTGAAGACAGCCTCAGTAACTTAGTAACATCCTGCCTCAAAATAAAAAAAATAAAAAGGACTGATGTAGCTCAGTAGTAAAGCACCCCTGAGCAACCTCTAGTACACCTCCCGCCAAAAAAGTTTAATCAAGTAAGAAATGAACATAAAACTCTAGTGTTCTTCAACACATTGAAAATTGTTCTCTTAATTCAAAAGGCGAAACTGCCAAAATTGCTCAGTAGTAAGTACAGAAAAACAATGAGCCCTCATGTCCTCAAACACAACTGCCCAAGACCAAAGGTCATCCTGCAGAATCTTGACTAGCTGTGTTAAAAAATGCACAGGCTCAAGTTTAGGCAATTAGAGGAAAATAGTGACAGATCTGCTTTAACAATGAGCTACTCTTGGTTTTAAAAATTATCTTTATGTCAAATATAGTATTTTGGAAAGAAGACATTAGATAAATAGTTGCATTGAGAAAATAAGACAATTAGCTGAGATATGTTCCAGTAGATTTTACTGAGCTAAAAATATGTGACGACATATAATTGGGATTAATTCATCCCAGGAAGTCCTTAAAGGTTCTACATAAAAAAGCCAAAGTTTAAATAAAGTTGAAGAATGAGATGCAGATCCCCAGTCATGGAAGAAGGGAAGGGCAATCCGGTAAGAAAGAAGAGCAAGCTTGAAGATATTGAAGCATGTTTGGAGAGAAAAGCGAAAAGTCTAGAATGATTTTTGGAGCAAAGTATGTACATGTAGTGGAAGGAAATCAGCTAGACATGTAGGGTGGGACCAAATGTGCTGTGGAGTTTGAGGTATGCCCAAACACCATGGCCTCTTTAATAGCAAGAAACCACGCAAAGCTGTAGAGCCATATGTTTTATCACAGCACATTAATGACCACATGTTAACAGGGAGGAAACTGGAAAATAACCATCGGCCATGGCAATGACTCAAACATTCTCTTTCTATTTCAGTCTTCAGAGTACCAGCGTGCAAGATGACACTGGAGAGTTATACTTTCTTTACATCATATTAAAATAAGCAGAAGCCCAGCCATTCCAGCATTTTAAAGACACTAAGATAAAAACTAATGAAATAGAAGTGATGGAGTTAAATCCACTTCTCAGAGGGTTCTATATTTTTACAATCTTTAACTCGTTAATGGAAGTGCATCCAGGAAATATGTAGATAGCAGGGTACTGGTGAAACCACAGGGGTCTCATCTTTCCTGTGCTTCTGAGCTTCTGAAACCAAAGGAAGATTTTACTTCTTTTAGAACCTGTGAGAAGTAACTGTATTTTCCTTAGCTGTATCCCTCCCTTTCCCTACCATACTAGCCCATGTTTGCTCATACATACATACCATGGTCTTTGCCAAATTCATGCCATATGCAATTCCCTCTTCATACCATCTGTCTGATCAGCTTCTACCCATGTCTGTCTTCTCTTCCTGAGTCAAGCATTACCAAGCATGTACAAGAAGCAAGAAATAAATTTGGTTACATAGTGGTGGTAGAATAAAAAAATGGAGCAAATACATATGGAACATCTAATATATCAATCACTATGTTTAGTTTTCAATAATTAATTAACTGTATTACCAGTGTTTGTGGGTCCAGACCAAATACATTTCGCTTTTCTCTCCACTCACTATAGTCTTGTATAACCCTGACCCCTTACTCCCCTTACCCCTTCCACTATGTCTTTACTGCATTTATTAAAATCTTTATGTTCCTTATTTTATTCATCAAAGTCTTCTCCTCACATACTATTTCTTACCAAAACCAGGCTTTCCCTTGGACATCTCATAGATAAAGATATAGATATAGATTTTATATATATATATATATTTTTTTTTTAATTAAGGAAATTTAAAAGATCTTTGCCACTATTATGAAAAGCTCTTCTCTTCAGTTTCCTCAACTATCAAAAGGAGAAGTTTTCTGAATCATTTCTGTACTTTTTTCCAGGTATTTGATGATGAATAAGAATTCCCCTTAAACTCAGTTATTGACACATTACAGTTCTGATTTCTTAAAAGTGTCAGATGCATCACTTCTTCAAGAACTGTGGAAGAGAGAACATTAGGTACTTGAGAGGTGAGGACATTCAAATCACGATATTATACTGTCTGGGCCAAGATAATCATTAGCTCAAGTCTTTCAGACTCCAGGCCCTTTCCCTGCTGGGTAAGCCAACAAGCCACAGAGATCCATTCAAATGATGAATGGGACCCAAAAATATTAAAGCAAACATCAAAGATCAGCTAGTTAGGGCTGTAGCTAGGGGAGGTCTTACTGAATATGAATTGCTGTATTTTAGATGATGAAACCAGGCCATTTTGAAGTTTAAAATGTGGTGTTAGGTTCTAAAGAGAACAGCAGTGTTTATCAGACAGAATTTGTTTCAAAGACTTGATTACAAAATCCTGTGCCAGAAACTGGAATCTGGTCTCTAGAGAATTATTAAACTTTATTTATACTAGTTACATGAAAGCGTATCTCATGTAACTAGTATAAATAATAATAATAATAATTAATAATGTTAGTACATTCAGACAACAAATGGTTCTTTGGAAACTTGGGTGTGAACCTTGTGAGTAGAGTGTTTCTGTGAGACATCAGCTGGGTTGGATGTCTTGTTTTGTTTGGGCTGGGGTCATCAGGCTCCCTCCCTCCATATTCTGTCTTCTTTAAGGCTAAAACACATATGAAAAATATTCCATGCCCAAACCCCCAAGACGTGAAATTCAGAGGTCTGACTTGAACTTGATCTCAAGTTTGAGTGTTGTCAGGCAGCACAGAAGATGAAGCTGATGAAAGCAAGTATTGGAATGGAAGCAAAAATGAAAAGCAAAGACAGCCATACAGTCTCAAGAAATGAAAGCAGCTGAAATGGGAACAGCTCTCCTTGCTTACCCTTCAGAGACAAAGTGGCAGGAAATTGTGAGATTCCTCCCAGAGCCCCACTTGCAAGGAAGCCCATTTAGCAAATGGTCTGAGTTGTTGGATCTGTTGTTGTTGGTTTTCTTCCCTGGGAACACAGCACACTGGGGATTCAGCTGCACCACACAGTACAGTCCTCTAAACCCTCAGACATGTCAAGTGCAGACTGAGAACAGCTCCTTCTGGGTTTGAAAAGAGCCATAATTCTCCTTCTTGGCCCACTCCTTCCTGGCATTCTTGAATTGCTGGGGGAAACCTTGCAAACCATCCATCAGGGCACTTAGTGTTAGGGGCCACCCTCAGCTCAGCCTCACAATATCTATTCTGTGCTTTTGCTGCACAGGGAACCTGACAAAATTGGCAAGTCCCATGTCAAGCCATGAAACGTCTTCAGAGAGAGAAACACCTAAAATGCAGCTTTTATCTATTTACCAAAATTAGGTCATGGTTTTCACTTTTGACAAAGATGCTTCTCAACACCAAAAGAAAAAAAAATTTGAAAAGAATCTGGAATAATTTACAATAACATAAATATAAATAAAAATAATAAAAATTTTCCCCAATGCATATCTGTTGGGGAAGGATTTCTTTATTATGTATCATAATATTTAGCATTTATTGAGTATCTGATACATGCCAAGCAGTACTCTACTATTTTACATGCATTTATTCAATATAATCCCTCCAATAAGCCACAATAAATTGGCTGGGTCAACATCAGTATCATCTCTATTTCACATTGAAAGAAATGAGGTATGTCACATGTTTTGGGTCCTAGAACTTGAAAATAGAAAAAGTGGGACTTGAACCCATATAGACTGATTTCAGCCTTGGATTCTTAGCTGGTAGGTCATGTTTCTCATGCTTACCTAAGGATAGAGAGTTAAGCAGACAAATGAAAATCAAATTCAGAAGTTAAAAATTCTTTTGAATTTTAAGCCCTAATAATTGGTTCCATAAGAATCTGTAAAAATCCAATTTCTTTTTCGGAGCTCTGTAGGTGGGGGCATAGGTACAAAAGGCATCTTTGGGATCCTTCGCTTCAGATTCAACATTGCTGTGCCACAGTGGGCTTCAGCAGTGCTCTCTGTGCTCACTACACGTGGATGAGTGAGAAAGAAAAAGCGAATGAATATATAGCTAGAGCAATTGTTCTTCTGTTGATAATAAACTACACGCATTAGGAATTGTGTCTGTCTGGCTCACTGTTGTGTCTCCATTGTCTAAAACAGTCCCTGCCTATTACAGACACTATTTTCTGAGTGAATAAACTCAGCTATGTTTGCATATGCCATTTATGATTACTGTGACTACTATATCACGTGTAAATACCTTTATTTTATTATGGACAGGGTTTTCAATGGTTGCAAGTTCATAGAAAACAAAAAGTATACTTGATGAAATACACAAATGACAGCAGGAAAGACTATGAACGCTATATTTTTAAAAGAAAAAGTAATTTCTGCTTAAATCTAACTGAAATAAGCCTGACATACACTGTAGACATAATGGAAAATGATCAAAGAAAATACAGATGATGTTTCTTTAAAGAATTTTTAATAAATTAGGGCTCAAATAAATTAGAGGCTTTCATTATAATTTATATCTGCCAACTCTTTGTTAGAAAGATTTATTTTAGTGAATATAATTTTTATGATACCAACTTTATTGCCAACAAAGCTTTGAAAAATGTAGTCTGTTAAATAGGATAATGATCCCTATTGAAGACTGCACTAAAATAGTAAATATATATATATCAATTGTATTTCATTCAGAGTAAAGTGATTAAATTTACCTCATCTCTGGATATGGTATTTGGCCTAAATTGCATTTCTGTTGGAGGGTGGAGTTTGAGATCAAAATCACCAGAATATTCATGCATTTAATGAAAGCCAATCTTCTGGCAAATAGGTTAGCACTTTTTATCCTATTTCTGTGGAATTTTGGTCATGTCCCAGATTCAAATATTCTTTATTCCTATAACTATATCTTCCAGAAAGATGGATACCATATCAGCAGTAGGACTTAATTTAATTGGCAAGTGTGTTTCATTAAAAAAATAAAAGCACATATGCAGAAACTAAGAGAAAATATTATATATTTAAATCCTTCACTTTCAAATTAAAAACATAGATGATTCTGCCTGTCAAAACTAGCAAATTACTAGAGCTAAAAGGGGACCTTAAAAGTAATCTAGTTCCAAAACTGGATTTACATGTAAAGAAACTGGGATAGGAAAAGGTGCAATGATTTATTCATAGTCTCACAGTCACTGAAGCACAAAGCCAAAACTTTGACCCAGGTCTTCTGGGCATAATCCAGACATTTTCTATTGCCCCATGCTATCTGGCTGCAAGGCTGCATTGTTCCAGCCTCTGGTGATAATTCTGGGGCTGGCTTAAACCTGAAAATACAGTACAGCCCCCTGGGGATGATCTGGGATATGTTTACTGTACCTGGACCTTATGAGTGTATGAGTGTTTGCTTCCTTACAGTTGTGAAGGCCTGGATAGACACACGTCATGACCATGTTTATTTTGTGCTGTTATATAACTGAGAGAGCTCCAAGAAACTTACCTAATGGCCACTTGTCAATTAAAATCATTGCAATTATTTGTGAGGTTTTTCTAAGTACTCAAATCCACTACTTTTGCTATTATCTTAAAAAAACATCCTTTTTATCTTTTCTCTTATTTTTTTAATAATAGTCCATCTGCTTATTCATGGAGTTTATAAATTCCATGATAAAACAGCACATTTGAGAGTTGGAAAGACAAAAGTCTGCTGTAACAAGGGACCTGTGAAGGTTGAGTTGATTTCTGTGTTGCACCATCCTATGATACACACTGAGCCATCAGTCCCCAAGCCAGAAGGGGCAATCCTCGTGGTGTCAGGCCACCAAGAACAACTTCATCTTTGCTGATGTTCCTGTCTATATAGTTGAAGTTTTTCCCCCTGTAGTCTAACAACAGAAGACTGGTTGTTCTCAGTGACAGTCTGACACTAGGTAGGTTCCTATTATTGTGTATGATTCCATTCACACTCCCATTTAGAAAACAAACTCCTTCTAGAATAAAGAAGAATGTCCATCTATTTCATCTCCCTTATTCTTCAATAACCTAAAGATAAATAGAGATTAAACAATTCACCACAGCATATGTGATTATAATGAAGAAAGAGCTCTAAGAATTAGAAGTTAATCCCAAAACTGTTCTATAATTGCTCATTTTTCTAAAGTTGATTGACACACCATTTAGAGATGTAAAAAGCAAGTCAACCAAGGTAACCGCCAATGCCTTGTCTCAACCTTTGGCTTTGTTTGAGCCCCAGGGTCAAATTCTGGGAACACAGATTATGATAACAACCTGATTTTTTCATGCTTTCATTCCACAGACCCCTTCACAGTCATGTGCATTTGAACTCAAGAGGATATAACAACTGCTTGCTCTCAAAAGTTCTATTCAAGTAGAGAGAGATCAATGGAAAAAAGTATGTGAAGCATGGAGTTATCAAGATTATTATTACAAGTTCCTATTTCTACCTATTACATTTTAATAGAAAATCCAGATTCATAAAATAAAAATTATTTGTAAGAAAAATGGGGATAAAATTTGAAAATTCTTTTACAGTTTTATTTATTAAAATTCAGCAATAAAAAAACCAAGAAGAAGCAGTACAGATTTTATATTGTAATTAATCACAGTCTGTTTTCTTTATCAAATTTTTAGGAATTTTAGAAATTTTCCATTTCTATTTGGGTTACTTACATGTGTTTGATTTGGGAAAATTTGCTGGATTACACCATTAAAATGTATGTACTTTAAAAAAAAATTTGGAGAGATTACCAATTTCCCTTTTCATAATATGACTTGAGTCATATTTCCATTCTATAAAGGTATTATTATACCTTAATATTTAATTATAATTTTCCTATTGTTGTAATTACTGAAAGTTGTGGCCAATATTACTCCAAAATAGTCTAGCAGGAAACTGTGGAGCCCTACTCTTTCTAGTATATTTAGATCTTAACTCACTTTAGTTATTTCTCCAAGAATTTACAAACCAGAATAACTGTTGCAATTCTGATATATTCTGTACTTTATCACAGTCATGATCCCACATAGTAACAACCCTCAAAAATTTAAATCAGTAATTTGTTTTCATATATCTAAACTGTTGGAAATTGTGGCCCATAAATGATAAGATGAGTAGATAAGCTGCAGGACACTCCAGAAGGACTTCAGTTAACTTGGTCCTACTCAAAATAGGACCAAGTTAACTGAGTATCTGTACCTGGTGCTCACCCTGAGCTGAGTTTGAGGTTGAAGAGATTCAATCATAATGACAGGTCGAAGAGTAGATTGATCTTTATCAACAATGATCTAAAAATCCTCTTATTAAGTATAATCACTGCCATTCATGCAATATGCTAAATCTTGTATAAATGAAATTCCTTACTTGATTTTCACAATCACTCTGTGGTGTATAGCTTCTGATATTATTCCCATTTTATTGACGATATATGCTTGAATCTCTAAGAGGTAGGATGCACAGTAAATAGTAAACCCAAGCGTTGAACTCAGACTTCTGAATCCAAAGCCAAGATCTTAACCTCTCAGAATAGATAAGTAGGTAGGTAAAGTTTAAAAAAAGAAATTGACATTTTGGATAGAAATTTAAAAAAAAAATAAATGTATGTGGAAGGTAATATTTTTAAATTGCTTACCCATTTTCTTCAATATTTTTACTATTTCCCATTATTTTAATATTTTATAATAAGAATATAGTTATATTACCCTATGTAATTTAAAACATTTACATAAAAAGTAGATCATAAAGCTTCAGCTGAAATTGTGGCTGCTTCTTACCTATAATATTCTTTAATCCTTCTGTTTTCTGTTATTTTCAGGAGACTTGGCAGAGGTACCTTCTTTGCCTTGTCTTGGCTATCGGAGATGCTGTTGTCACATTTCCCTCATTCTGTTAACATTGAATTCCATGGCCAGCTCTTCTGTGAATTGAAGGAAGATATTGAAACTTCATTCCTTTTCAAGTGAATCAGGAACCTCTAGCAATGCTTACTTCTCTGCCACCTTGACAAAACAAAAGCAGTTTCAGGCTTCTTATTCCATTCAATTTCCAGGACCACCCACATGCACAGAAGAGTCCCTCTGTTTTGTCAGCATGCACCTGCCCCTATGGTCACTGTTTTCCACTTCAGTGTTACGGCTCTTGTAAGGCCTGTACCTTTCTACCTAACCTGATGCTCTCTGAATTAACTCATTTCCTGCCTAGTACTTGTTTGTTCTTCCCCTCCCCTGGCACTCCATGCCCTTGTCTGCTTTATCTATAGTGTCTGCAAGATCTTCCTTCTCCCCAATATTTTCTGGACACTCTTGATACTGAGGACATGCATATCCTGTTTTCCTGATTCTGGGGGATTCAGCAACAAGTAAATGTTTTATAAAAATGAAGAATTTGTAAAAGTCTACCAAGTGCCAATTTCACTAAATTGGGTCATCAAAAACAAGAAAATTGAACATCACAATCATTCTATGAAAGATATATTAAAACTAAAAATGGGGAAAGACCATGATCTAAATAAATAAATGTGTTTCTCAGAAGGCAGCAATTATGCAATCTCTGTGGGGAGACTTAATGTGGGAGAATGATTCATGATGAGTTCATGAGAATAGCTGAACCTCTCTGTCTAGTATAAGGGACCCTTAGCAGTCGGTGAATCACTTTTTGTAGCCCAGCCCCTACCTTCTCTCCCACCTCAAGGTCAAGAGTGAGTCCCTAATCTGCAAAAGCTGAAGGGTCACATTACATGCTCTTGTCTCTCGGAAAACTCCATTTATCAACAACAGATTCCAGGCCAGGATGGAAATGCCAGCAAAATGAAGTTCACCCAGGCCTGGAGTTTGCTGCCTCCCCCACCCAAAGGCCCTACCTAGACCCCTTGTTGTGTTCTGTGGCCTGGGATACTTTAAGCTCCCCTTGAAGAGTGTAGAGTTCCTAACATGCACAGAAGCTGTGTTGGTGTGAAAAAAAAAAAAAGGCCCAGAAGAAGTGAAACTAAACAGCACAATCCCTGCAGTGTTCATGTGATCACGGAAATGGCACTTTATACCTGTCCACAGAAAGGTTTTTAGGACAATCACCAACACATTCTCCAGTGAGACCTTAAAATCCCAAATGCACTCTTTATGGATTGTTTTAGATGAACATAGTTCTTGAAGTCCCTTTTTAAACTTAATAAAGTACATTATATCATTCACCTTGATTACTCATCACAAATTCAAGCCAAAGCCAAAAGGCAGAATTTCTTTTTTTTACTGGTTCCAGGTTCCAACTACGTTGACCTAGATATGCTAGCAGTAGAAGTATCCTAACCCTCTGGCTCAGGGCATCAGATCCCATATATCAGGAAACAATGAAGGAAAGAAAAGGGACAGGGCTAGGTCTGTAGCCAAGGTTGCCTGTGCTATGAGAGGAAATTGGTCAATTTTGGTCCATACAAGGGTATCTAGAAAGTGTAGGCTGCACAGATGCCCCATTTCCCCCATGTTCCAAGAAAATATTAATAGTCCACTTTTATAGTGGTATGATTTATTTGCTCCATTCACATTTGGTAGCAGAGGCATTGTCATGCCCCAGGCTTATTGCTAAATAATACAGAAGCTAGAAGGAAATGCAATAGAAAGTTGAGAATGTGAAACATGTGGTAAGGTCAGGACACACTCCCACATGCCCACCCAACACATGACTCTGTGGTTTCTTCTATCATTGTGAACACAACTGCCATTTCTATCACCATCATTAATTAGAATAAAAATTCTTAAAACTTGCTACACCATTCATCTGTAGAGCTTAGTAGGATTATTCCAGACCTTCAGGCCAAGTTTTCTAAAAGCCTAGCTGATTAAAAAATATTAACATATGTGTTTTGCCAACACTGGTTACACTGATTGCTGGCAAGTGTTTATGTGCTAACCAAGACCTGACAAGAGAGATGCAGAAAAGCACTCGAAGAAGGACACTTACATAGGAGGGGTACCACTGGTAACTGAAGTATCTGTTTCCTCTTTGGCAAAGGAAGGAAGTTAACTCATGGTCTTCAAGGCACCTTCTAGAGCTAACATTTTATAACTGATTAGCAGACAAATTTTTACAAGACACCTACTGAATGATGTGAGGTTGAAAATCCTTCGAAGACAGATGATAATCCTAAGTACTCCACATTGTTTTTACCTTTATTCCTCCTATCCCTTACCTTGTGCTTATTTCTCACTAGCATTGCCAATCAAAGAGGAAAGAAAAATTTTTATTAAGTCAATTTTGATGGGATCAAAATTTGAAGTTCTGAGATTATTGACTAAATTTTCCCCCATTATAAATTCTCTGAAATATCTTTCTCCGGAGGTTTTGAATAGAAAGAGTGAGCTGTGATTTGAACTCTAGCAAGCCTAGCAAGATTCATTGCAAAAAGCTCCTCTGAAGGAAAATGACAGGCAAGAAAGCAATGACAGCTCCTTCTAGAGACCCCACCAGCATCTGGGAATCTGGAAACTCAAGCTGTTAGTGATAAGAAGGAAGGCAACCAAAAGACTTGTTGTTTTTTGAAACAAAGGAAAACCAGAGTCAGTGACTTGCAAGTTCCTAGCAATCTTATCTCCTTTGGTTCAGGAGCACTTGTTTGCCCACTAAGCGTTACTTTTTCACAAAATAAAGTTAAGTCAACAATGTTTTTGGCATTCGTGACATGGTAGGTAAAACAGCCTGTGAAATGTGGAATGAAATTTTCTTTTTTTTTTTTTTTTTTTTTTTGGAATGAAATTTTCAAGTTTTGAAATTGAAGCTCCAAGGTTAAAAAAATAACCCATGTGATGAGTGTTTTGCTGGCTCATTTAAACTTCCCAATCCTAACACTTGATTTCCCAAGCAAGGAAACAGATTAAAGCGAACATAATATGTTCACAACAAAATAGAGTGTAGCTTGGATTAGGGGTTAAATTCCATTTAGCATTTATGCTTTCCCTATTTCACTACCATCATTACTAGTATTAATGCTTTAGAGTTAAGCAGTTTGCTAAGTGCTTCCAAATAGCTTTTCTTATTTACATAAAATTCCCAACACTGTGATATAGATAAAACAGTAAGTATTCCTCATCCTTACCATCTTCCTAACTATCATCTTCATTTAATGGGCACTTTACTGTGTACCAGGTCCTGTACTAGGTGTTTTATAGAATCATCACATTTAATCCTCATAATAACCTTTTGTGGTACAGATGAGAAAACACAATTGATTGGGGATTGGATTCAGGGGCTTATGAGTCTATGCTCAGTATTCTTTCCACGTTGTTTTAATAATAGACTTTAAACAGAGCAAAGAAAATGTTAATTTGTTTCCAGTTATTTTATATAAGTTTCCTTTAGTCAGAAATAAGGCAAGAAAGGGACCATGAAAATAAAGTTAAATTGGGCTGGGTTGGTGGCTCAACAGTAGAGCGCTCGCCTACCACATGCAAGGCCCTGGGTTTGATCCTCAGCACCACATAAAAATAAATAAACAAATAAAGGTATTGTATCCAACTACAACTAAAATTTAAATATTAAAAAAAAGTTAAATTCACAGTATCTTCCTAAAATAAACACTAACAAAAATTCAATAGACAAAAATATTTCCAAATCTTTTGGAGTTTTACAAATTTCATTAAGGTTAAAATTTCACTACATTTGCAGCTAAATGCAAATTCTACTTTTTAATGGGCTACTGACAAAATAAAAACTCAAGCAAAGCCATTCTTTTCTTCTTAAAGACTTTGTTTGAAAGCAGACAGTGTAGGGTGACTTACATTGTCGCCCTGATTGCAACCTTGTTGGTCTTTGACTATATCAAATTTAATTTCCACTCAGGAAATATTTAATGTGCATCTACTGCATGTTTGGTGTTGAGAAATACAGAAGCAAAAAGAACACTTACTACTCCTGCCTTTCTAGAGCTTATTATGATACAGAGGTCAGAACAGATATGAGAGATGATAATAAATTTTTAAAACAGAATATTATCCTGGACTTGGAAATTAGAAGATGATTACATTAAAAAAAATTGTATTTAAATGAAACCTGGGAAAATGCCAACAGTTAGTCTGATAAGGAGGTGGCTTTAAAGACATTAACAAACTTGGGAGAAATCAACATCCACATGAAATGAAGAAGGTTTCCATAAGATTTTGGAGGAGAGCAGATTATTATATAGGAAGGTCATCCTTAACATTTCCCTTACTTAACCAAAATTCCCACAGTTATAAGAAACTAACTTAAAACTCCCTGATCTGGAAGCAGGTAAAGGAAACACTGGTAGTGACTCAGATAATTAAAATAGGGGTTTCCTCTCCATCAAGAAAAGCATGGTGTAGTCACTCAAAAGGACATGAGAGAAGAAGGTAGGAATCAAGAAAGAAAGATGATTGGAGAAGGGATATAAATAGAGAACAGGGAGCAATATTCTAAGTGAAATAGAATCCCATTAACAAAATGAATAATTTTATTATGATGAGCTCTCTACTACCTGTGTTTCACCTGAAGAATTTACAGCATTCTATTCCACATTCATTTAAACTGCACTTGAGATCTCAAGGGAAGATTAAAGTTCAGCAGATTTATTTTCCTATGTTCTACTTAGGTTTAGCACAGTAATGAGAAGTAAAGATACTAGAATCCTTGATTCCTTCCTTTTTATTTTAGTGTCAATTCCTAATTCACTTTATTATTACATGAGCATTAGTTTTGGACTACTAAGGCCACCAAACTGATAGGATAAGAAAGTAGCAATAAAAAGAGGAAAGTGGGAGTTTTTCACTATATGCTGAATATTCTCTATTTGCCCATCTGGAGATACATGTCAATCTTTTCTGCCCTCCTCTGTGCACCACAGCTTGGCCTGCTACCAAGGAACAACCATGGATTTCAACTGGGTGTGGAAAGTAGTAAGCATCAGCAATA